AAGAATTAAAGTTATCTGGAACTATTAGTTTTTTACCACTTCATTCCTTGCAATAAGCAGCTCGGAATCAAACTGTTTGGGACGACTTTGTTTAGTACTTTTTGCAAGTAATCAAAGCGGTCTACAACAATTAGTTTCCCATCTCTTTGATTCATGAATACGCAGTTCGGAGCTAACAGTTCCAAACAATTTGGTTCCTTACAATGACGGGTCTGGAACTAATAGTTCCAAACAGCTTTGATTCCTTATAATGAGCGGTTCGAACCTAATAATTCCATACCCATTTCATTTCTTACAATGAGCAGTTCGGACCAGAGGCGTTTTGAAAAAAATAGATGAACAGAAAAATAAAAAAAATAAAAAAATACATTAAAGTAAAATATAATGCATAAGATATCTTTTTAATACTTCCAAAATTTAAGAGTTATTAGCATAAAATTTCCCCGAACAGTTTCGAGAGAAGTTATCACCTCAGGAAAAATTTCCGGGAGCAATAGTTCTCATTGTAGCTGACTATGCTTTGAAAACAAAATTCATTACATATCATTACCTAAGGGAACCATCATTACAAAATATTAAAAGATAATTCTAATTTTTCCATGAAAATAACTGCCCTGAATTTTCCACTTGGATTTCTTTAATGATATGAATAGGGATTATCTTACAAGTCATGTTTTGGTAGTCTCCTTCTACAATTCATCATAAAAAGGGTTAGTAAAATATATAGAGGAAAAATGGGAGTTTAGAGACCGTTGTGATATCAATTTTCAGCTATAAACTATGCTTAAAAATATAAAACAAATAAATATTAAAAAGGTGTGAGTTTTCATATTCCCTTATGTAATATTTTGCAAGATGACAAAAGAAGGTGAGACTTAGTTTTCGTAGTGCTTCAACTAGGGAAGAAAAAACACTCATTTTTTACTCTGAAAACATGGCCCACTCCCCTAGTTGACTAGCTTCTTTAACAAATAGAAAACTGGGTACTAGCTCATTTTTCTTTATTATATTATGTTTATACTTTGGTGTTTTCTTTTTATTATATTATGTTTATACTTTGGTGTTTTCTTTCAGCATGAATGGCATTTCTTTATGGAGGAAGGAATGGGCAGTTTAATTCAGGGTTCGAATCCTCTGCTGCCATTTATACTTCATATAATAAAAATTTACATACTTATGGAAAAATATATGGCATTATCATATGTTCTATATTTTGAGTTATATTACGTTGAGTTCTTACTTTTTCGAATTTCTATTTTCCCTAGTTTAAAAGTCTAACTTTCCCAAAATACAAAAACACATGCATTTATCATTTTGAACTGACCAAATACGCCTTCAGGCGGGAGGTAAAAAAGTCCAATTTTCCAATTGCCCATAATATAATGAAATAAATAAAAGAAAAAGAAAAAAACCTAATATTTTGCTCGATTCGAAAGTCGAAAGTCCCAACTTTCAAACAACCCAAAAAAAATCTGTTGGAAAGTCCTATTTTCAAACAACCTTCAACAAAAGCTAAGTACCCCATCAGTATGTAAAATTTTTTTATTACAATATACAAGTGAGCAAATCTTTTCCTAAACTATGGTTACCTCCCTTAAGAAGGAAATGAATCTCCTAAAACAATTTGCTCCTCTTGAGCTCTATTAATTTGCACATAGGAATTTCATGAGACTGGAAGATCTTCCCCAGTGTTCGCAAACTCAGCTGGTCCAACTTGGAATTGGCTGATGAAACCCAAACCGGGCACCGGCCGTTCCAACTTTGGTGGTCCAACCGGGTATTTTAAAGAAATTAAAAAAGAATTATATAAAATACTAAAATATAAGGGGTCTGTTTTTTGAATATTTTTTATCATTTTGGCAAAAATTGTTTAACTGTTTTGGCCATGAATCTTTATTTCGAGATTTTCTCATCTTTTTTAAAAAATCTCAAAAATACCCTTGAACATAAATCGATTTTTTAAATTTATTTTTTCATCAATTTTCAACTTTATTTAGATGTATTTTGTTTAATTATACTTTTAAATATACTTTTCATAATGTTTTTGAATTTTTTATTCTTTTAACACTTTTTGAACTGGTCGGGACCTTATGCCAGTTTTACCAGTTAGTCGAAACAGGCCAGTTTTACCAGTTAGTCGAAACAGGCCATAGGCCAATTTTGAGGCCAGTTTCATTTTTTGAACACGTAAAAACAGGAGGAGAGAGAGTCCTACAATTTTCCCTCTAACAAACTATAAACTTAAAAATTCCAAAGGTGGACCGCATACCAATAAGATACAAATAAATTATATACATTGCCCCACAGGACCAATGACCGTCCATTTCTTTCATTGAGGTGGTTGTGGTGAGCCTTAGATCGGTGGCAGTGTGATAATCCATTACATCAGAAGGGACTTTCTCCACGGTATACCTTTATACCACACAATTTATCTGCCATTCTGAGATTTCTCTGTATTTCTCTATTTGTATAAAGATGGTTTCACC